GGGGCGGCCCACAGGGGAGACAGCAAAGGTGAGGTAGCGAATCAGCTGCATGCAGCTGGTTTTCCTGGCGCCTCCCAGCGCCAGCGTCAAGGAAGGCGCCTGGCAGCGGGGCAGAAGCCAGCTCCATGCAGCAGTGTTCGTACCTCCCGTCTCCTTGACTTTTTCATCGCGAAGACAAAGCGAAGTACAGCAGCAGTACCCTGACTGATGGGGCAACGTCGGGCGTCCCCTCCGACGAAGCGCCACTCAGCATCTATGCACCTGCGCGGTAATACTTCCACGAGGCGCCCTTCTGTGGTTGAGATTCGGGGCACAAGAACTTCCACTCGAAAAGTGGCACGCGCAAGTCGAGAAGTGGATGCAATTCGTATCTCCCCTTTCCCCATTCTCCACGATCGTTCGACCCGAAACACATGCCGCAGTGCGCCGACGGGGCAAGGTTGGCCACCCGCCGAGGATGGGGAATCCCCCCACTTGAGGAGGAACGTTAGGGGGAGGGGGGACCAGCCCACGGGGAAACATCGAGTTTGAATCGGCAATGCACCGCCGGTCGATCGGCGATGCGCCCCCGATCGCGAAATCGCACGTTCCTTGGCGGGGTGGGCTGTCAGGATCGGCGATCGATGGCCGACTCAAGGTCTCCCGCATTCGCGCTTCGCACTGCACGAAGGGCGAATAACTTCGCGCTGTCGCGTCGCCACCCCCCCATGGGACAAGAGGAGGACGAGGGACGAAGAGGACAAGAGACCAGGAGGACGCGGGAGAGGGCCCAGACGGCGAAGCGCGAATAGCTTGGCGCCTTCGCAAGAGCCCTTGGCGATTGTGGGTCGGTGCGCCCCCAGACGAGCCCATCCTCCCCCCTCCCCCCCAACGTTGCCCCTGACCCACGCAGCTCACCCAACGCTTAACCATTTTTCCCCCGGGAGCGTGCCTCGCCGTTTTGAGCGGGCAGCCTCGCGCCCCTCCCTCCCTGATCCTCCCTCATCCCCCCTTCTCCCCCTGCATCCTCCCTCCTCCTCCTCCTCCTCCTCCTCCTCGTCCTCCTCCTCCTCCTCCTCCTCTTCTTCTTGTTATCCTTCTTCTTCTTATTAATATTAGTATTATTAGTATTAGTATTCGTCTTCTTCTTCTTATTATTCTTAGTAGTATTATTGTTAATAATAATATTCTTATTCTTATTATTCTTACGATTCTTATTTTTAGTATTATTATTATTATCATTATTATTATTAGTAGTAATATTATTATTGATACTATTATTAGCATTATTATTATTATTAGTCTTACTAGTTGTCTTATTATTAGTATCATTATTATTATTATTATTATTATTGCTATTCGTCTTAATAGTATTATTCTTCGTCGTCTTCTTATTACTATTATTATTATTATTATTATTCCTCCTCCTCCTCCTCCTTCTCCTCTTCCTCCTCCTCCTCCTCCTCCTCCTCCTCCTCCTCCTCCTCCTCCTCCCCCTCCTCCTCCCTCTCGGCCAGTCGCGGGGATGGCGCCCCCACTGGCTCTCCGGGGGCCGCCCAAAGGGGAACCGTCCACGGTCCAGTGCGCCCCAGGCCAGCCTAGTCTTGAGGCAGCCCCGGGTTGTGACGCGGGCCGAAGGCTGCCCGCGCCCTCTGTGCTGGTCAGCTGGCGCGCAATGGCCAGCCAGCCTCCCTCCCTCCCTCTCCCCCTCACCCTCATCTTCCTCCTCGTCCCTCCTCGCCCTCCTCCCCCTCCTCCACCGGCCAGCCGGCATGCGATGCTCGTCGATCCCGCCGGGCAGACGAGCACAAAGTTCGTGCAATAGCTCCCGACTCGGCCGCAAACGCCAGCGACAGGAGGGTCAACTAAACAGTACAGAAAGAGGAGGAGGAGGAGGAGGAGGAGGAGGAGGAGAGGAGGAGGAGGAGGAGGAGGGAGGACCAATGCAAACCCAAGACTCATCAACGATATTGACATACATCCTCCATCCGAGATCCTTTATCTGAGGCCCCTACACAAGTCATTTCCACTGATGGAACTGCCCCGTTTGGGGACAACCGTGTGAACACCTTGATGCGTGCCAAAACACCGTTCTCAGGACTTCAACGCCACGAGTTAACCTGAATCGCGCCAGCACATCATTCCTGGGACTTCAAAACCGCGAATCAACGTAGCCGCTGCGCCCTAACAACCCTGAATCGCTCCACAACAATTTCTGGTACGCGAGCCATGAGAATCAAGGAACCTCTCGCAAATCTATAACACAAATGCGCGCGGCGCTGAGGCGAGACCCACATGTTAAAAAGAACCGCCCTCAAGCCGCGAAACTCTTGCTTGTTTTTCGAACGAATGTGCGCGGCACATGTTGAAACCACCCGCCCTGAATCCGTGAAGCTCTTGCAGTTTTTTCCCCAAACAGCTTGCTGAACGGGGTGCTGTTGTGATAGAAGCTAACTCCGGCCAAAGGAAATCAAAGCAGAGACGTCCTCAAAAAAACGTCGTGGTCCAGGCCGTTTCGCCTGAGACATACTCGCAACTCTCGTTTCTGAGTTGTCCGGGATTCGGCGTTTCGCCTGAGACATCCTCCACACTCTGAGTTCCCAGATGCCGCGCAAGAGGTGGTCTGGCCCGTTTCGCATGAGACATCCTCGAAACTCTGAGCTCCAAGATGCCGCGCGAGAGGTGGTCCGGCCCGTTTCGCCTGAGACATCCTCCAAACTCTGAGCTCCCAGATGCCTCGCGAGACTTTGTCTGGCCCGTATCGCCTGAGACATCCTCCACACTCTGAGCTCTGAGATGCCGTGCGAGAGGTGGTCCGGTGAGTTTCGCCTGAGACACTCTCGCAACTCTGAATTCTGAGATGCCGCGCAAAAGGTGGTCCAGCCCATTTCGCCTGAGACATCCTCGAAACTCTGGCCTCCGAGATGACGCGCAAGATGTGGTCCGGCCCGTTTCGCCTGAGACATCCTCCAAACTCTGAGCCCTGATATGCCGTGCGCGAGGTGGTCCGGCCCGTCTCGCCTGAGACATCCTCGCAACTCTGCGCTCTCTGATGCCGCGCGAGAGGTAGTCCGGCCCGTTTCGCTTGAGACATCCTCCAAAAAAGGTCTGAGCCCCGAGCTGCCGCCCAAGAGGTGGTCCGGCCCGTTTCACTTGAGACATCGTCGCACTTTTGCATTCCGAGATGCCGCGCGAGAGGTGGTCCGGCCCGTTTCGTCTGAAACGTCCTCCAAACTCTGAGCACTGAGATGCCGCGCGCAAAGTGGTCTGGCCCATTTCGCCTGAGACATCCTCGAAACTCTGAGCTCTGAGCTGCCGCGCAAGAGGTGGTCTAGCCCATTTCGCCTGAGACATCTTCGACATCCTCGCAGTTCTGACCTCGGAGATGCCCTGCGCGACGTGGTCCAGCCCGTTTCGCTGGAGACATCCTCGCAACTCTGAGCTCTGAGATGCCCTGCGCGAGGTGGTCCAGCCCGTCTCGCCTGAGACATCCTCGCAACTCTGAGCTCTGAGATGCCGTGCGCAAGGTGGTCCGGCTTGTCTCGCACAAGACATTCTCGCAACTCTGAGCTCCCAGATGCCGCGCAAGAGGTGGTCCAGCCTGGGGGCCCAGAAGACCACGTATTACATATCCTCCCTGGGACCCTGGGAGCCCCAGGAGGCGCCAGAGAGCTCCAGGAGGCCGCAGGACGCCCAGGACAGGCCCCAGGGGTCCCCAGGAGATTCCCAGGAGGCTCGCAGGAGGCCCCAGGAGGCCCCCTATCAGAACGTGTCAAATTAATACACATCCGGTGTCGATTCGTTGATTTTTTCTGATCTTGTGGCACCACCCCAATTTTGAGGGGCCCAAATGGCCACATGTTAGATATCCCCCCTGGGAGCCCCAAGAGGCATCAGGAAGTCCCAGGTGGAGTCCAGAAGGCCACAGGAGGCCCAGAAGGAAGCCCCATGAGGTCCCCAGGAGGCCCCAGGAGGCCCCAGGAGGCCCCCGCAACTCGGAGCTCGGAGACGCCGCGCTCGAGGTGGTCCGGCCCGTTTCGCCTGAGATTTCCTCGCAGCACGTTTCGCCCGACACATCGTCGCAACTCTGGGGTCCGAGATGCCGCGCGCGAGGTGGTCCAGCCCGTTACGCTGGAGACATCCTCGCAACTCTGGGTTCCGAGATGCCGTTCGGGATGAAGAGGAGGTGGAGGAGGAGGAGGAGGAGGAGGAGGAGGAGCAGGAGGAGCAGGAGAAGGAGATGGAAGGGAGAAGGAGGAGGAGGAGGAGGATGTGGATGAGGGAGCAGGCAGGAGGAGGGGGAGGAGGAGGAGGAGGAGGAGGAGGAGGAGGAGGAGGAGGAGGGAGAAGGAAGGGAGTTGCAGGAGAGGACCAGACGGGAAGCGAGTGTGAGGTAGACTTGTCGGAACGTGTGCGAGAGGTTGTCCGGCAGGTTTCGTTTGAGACATCCTTCCAATACTGATGACCCGCTCTCTGGCCAGCACTTTTTGTCAGTCGAAGTGCAACGCTGGCGATTTATCATGCGGGACCCTGCGCACACGCTGGATGACGCCAGCGCAGGAACAGAGACTGAAATCCACAACAAAAAGTCTGTCGAGGCGAGGGCTGGCTTTGGGCGGACAGAAAAAGGCTTGAGAGACAGTGTCCATGGCGATCGTCAACATTACCATTGACATTAGCATGACCCGCTCTCTGGCCAGCACTTTTTGTCAGTCGAAGTGCAACGCTGGCGATTTATCATGCGGGACCCTGCGCACACGCTGGATGACGCCAGCGCAGGAACAGAGACTGAAATCCCGTAATCACGCCATTCATATGCAGTAAGCTGGCTAGCAAGACGATTCACAATTGGCTGAGCGTGGCCACAGCACGGCGATGGACTACATGAATGAGAACATCGCCGATGAACTTAAAAATCTCTGGGGGGTATGGCTCCGCAACCTTCGAGAGCCATTTACCCCCCATCTTCCCTCGGATGTGCACATGTTTACGACCAGTGAAAGAACAGAGCCCCCCGCGACCATGGCAGCGCAGGTGCGGGGCTTCGACCGTGCCACAGTGCTGAAAGACTAGCTTGGTTCTCTTGCGCATGGGCCCTCCAGCAGCACAGAAATCCACATCGACCACGGAGCCGCGAGCGAGAGCTCGGCGCCGAGAAGGAAAACACCAGAGGATGGAGGTCTGTGGGTTCTCCTCGCCGCAGCAGATGCCCAAGTCCCAGGCGAGCTGCTGGAGGCGGCCTCCAGAGTCAATGAGACTATTGGCCTCGCGCACCTGTGCGCGGTGGCTAGCAGACAGGTCAGGCAAGCCACGGTAATGCTCAGACGATCTCAGCGGCGGAGGCATGCGACCTGATCTGTCCGTGCGGGCACGAGTGGTGGTGATACACGGAGTCGCAAACCAGAGGGCCCACACCAGGCCCGCACGAAGCCAGCCGGCGATGGTGAGCACCACCTCGCGCCGGCCGAGGTCGAACTGCGGCCCTTGCAGCTTGTCGAAGGCTATGCAGGCGTAGCCCTTGCGGCGAAGGTATTTGCTCACCGGCGCAGTGCCAGCAAAGAGGTCAACGAAGACGCTGTGCTTCAGCATGGTAGCATCTGCACGCGCCGCCCGCAGGCTGGCAGCAAGAGCCGGGCCAGCTCGCGCTCGCGGCGCTGCGCCTCCTCGCGGAGCTGCGCAGGGATGCGGTGCATCATCGAGGCCAGCCTGGCATGCTTCTCGTAGCGCCGCACGCTCTGGAACGAGCGCCAGCCGCCCCTCTTCTGAACGTCGAGGAGGGCCCGCGAGCGAGAGGACACGTCCTCCGAGGCCCCCCCGCGACGAAGGGAGCACGGCGTCACCTTCAGCTGCGCCAGGCCCAAGCCGAGGAGGCAGCTGTTCCAGGCCAGGAGGAAGTCGGTGTAGTGGAACAAGAAGAGCCGCTCCCGCTCCCCCCTGTTGGCCTTCAGAAGGCGCAGCGCCGACTCCAGCAGGCGGTGGCGCGGCAGGTCCAGGGCGACGCTGGTGTCGAACTCGCCGGTCTTGCCAAGCACGTCTAGCTCGCTCGCGCGGATCAGGATGGTCCAGAACTGGCAGGCCCCCCTCTCGTTCGGCACGGGCGGCACCAGCTGTAGGCCGACGAGGCTGAGCGCCTCGCTCGGCCGCATGTACGTCTCGAACGTCAACAGCAGGAACAGAGCGTAGTCCGCCTTGCCGTCGGAGCAGAGTCGCAGGGCCATCAGCACAGCCAGCGACCGAGGGACTGGTGGGCGCGACAGCGGCTTCTCGAGCCGGCGCCATCCAGTGACCGCAGCAGTCGCCAGCGGCAAGCCCCGGCGCAGCGGACGCGGCAGCTCGGGCAGCGCCCAGCGCACTGCGGCCAGCGTGCTGGAGGCATCCCCCTCGGGCAGCCCGCGGTCGTGCAGGAACTCCACGTACTGCTCCAGCAACAGGTCCCACTCGCTTGCGGGGAGGCGCTGAGGGGCTCTGGGCACGTGCAGCCACGCCAGCAGCTTGCGCAGGGCGTTCAGGTAGTTGCTCTGCGTTGCCGTCGTCACGGCCACGGCAGCCAGGGAGCTGATGTGGAACCCCAGCTCCTCCGCCTCCTCCGCACTGCGGGCGGCCGAGTGCAGCGATGAGCCCGGGCGCCGCCGCGCCGTCTCGCGGCGCAGCCGGCGCGCCGAGCCAGACTCCCCGCGATAGGGGACCAGGCGACCCGGCGCAGGTTGGCGGGCCAAGCCCAGGGGGCCAACAGCAGCCAGCGCGCGGCAGGGCAGCCGGCCCGAGGCCGGCGCAGGCTGCAGAGGGGGCGGGCTGGCAGGGCAGGCGTGGCGGCGAGGCAGAGCAATGCCCTCCGGCCGCGGCCTCCCGAGAGCCACGCCGCCCCCCGTCTCCGGCGCCACCAGAGGGCGCAGCACCCGACTCGGGGCAGGCGGGGCCCGGCTCGGACTCAGGTTCGCCGCTGGCACCAGCACCCTGCAGAGCAGCGGGCTCGGGCCCAGGGAGCCCCGCGGCGAAGGGCCCCGCAAAGGCCCGCCGCTTGGAGCGCCCCGCCGCGAGCTGCTCGCGAAGCCCAGCAGCGCCCGCTGGCCCGTGAAGCCGCGCCTCGGCGAGCGCGATCGGCTGGGTGAAGGGCGAGTCGCCACAATCATCCTCGAGCCGAGGCGGCGGCTGGTGACCACGCACAGCGTCCGCTGGGCAATCCGCTGAGGGGGCAAGTGCGGTGTGAAAGTGACGAGCATGATGAGACGAAGATGGGTCGTATCTCCTGCTGGGCTCGTCCGCCGAGTTCCACTCTGAAGGAATCCACCGAAAAGAAACACGTGCTCCAAGGGCCAAGCACATGGCACAAAACTCGCGGCACCTCCGCAGCAGGTACCACGACGAGCTCCGCCCCTTGCACGAGGTGAGGACCCAGGCCATAGAGTCCGACAAAACTAAGCGCCGCTTCTGGGCGCTCAGGCGGCTGCGGGCCAGCCGCCGAACCTGCCACAAGGCTGCCTCCGCCTCGAGCGCGAGGATCTTGTCCTTGCGCCTCCAGCGGCGCGCAGCCACCACGCCCCAGTCGCCCCCGCGCGCCAGGGCCGACGGCACCTCCTCGAAGGCGGAGCGCAGCCCCAGCGCACGCAGCTGCTCGGGCGAGGCGTCGACAATGTCGCTCAGCGAGGGCTCAGCCTCCTCACCCTCGACCAGGCAGCGCGGGCGGCGGGAGGTGCGCAGCGCCCCACGGCACCGTCCCCGCTCTGAGGCGCGGCCGACGCGACCCACCTCAGCGGGGGGCCAGGCCTCAAAGCCATGCAGCGAGGCGTCGACCGAGGCGACGGCGGGCGACCAGGGTAGGCTCATGTCGGCGACGGCGAGCGGCAGCAGCGCCCAGGCAGCTCGAAGCTCGCGCCGAACTGAGGCCCACACGCGCGCCGGCTGCCCGAAGTAGCGGTCGGCGAAGACGTACACGGCCGAAAAGATGGACAGCATCTCTGGCCGCAGCAGCATGATGGCCGAGGCGTGGCCGACGGCCCGGGCAATCTGGCGCCCTGTGCGGCGCTGACGGCCCCAGCCCAGCGTGCGGAGGGCCAGCGCGACCTTCCAAAACTTCCTCGCCGTAGGCCGCCACTGCGTGCCCGTCGGGCCCAGCTCGAACCCGAGCAGCGGGGCGCCAGCAGGCTCTGGCGCGGCGCCCACTCCAGCGGCCGCCACGGCGCCCAGCATCTGCTCCAGGCGAGCGTTCGCCTCCGTGGGGCTCGTGCCAAGGGCCGCGAAGTTGTCGATGTAGATGAGCGAGGCCCCCGAGCCAGGGCAGACGGGCTCGCGAGGCACGCACTGGGCCAACCAGCGGTCCGCCGGGGCACAGGGGCGAAGGATCTCCATCATGGCATGCTGTATGAAGTAGACCGCCCATGACCAGCCCATCGGCACCACTCTCAGGCGCAGGCGCACCAAGCCGTCCGGCGGTGGCGCCCCAACGAGCCGACGAGCGGCAAGCGGCAGTGCGGCCCAGGGCACAGGCGGTAGGCCAAAGGCCTCACGCAGGTGCACTGGCAGCAAGAACTGGTAGAAGCAGCACGTGACGTCGCCCTGCGCGACGAAGAGGCGCCCCCCCGCCTGCAGCTCGATGTTGCCGAGGGCCTGCGCCGCAGCCAAGGGGACGTAGTCGGGCTCCGCGAACTCGGTGTTGGAGGCCCTTGTGTCGAAGATCAGCCTGAGGGTCCCATCCTTCTTGTAGACGAAGAAGGGCGCCACCTGTGAAAACGAAGTGCCCACCTCGAGCATGTCACGCTCGAGGAGGTCAGCCAAAAACTTCCCATAAGTGCGAGGATTGCTTGCCAGCCTTCGGTCAAAAGCCAATTTCGCCAACGAAGAAGAAGATGTGGAGCCTCTCATCAGCAAAGTGCCAGACTCACCCATCAGCAGAGAACGTGGACCCTCCGGCAGTGCAGCAGCTAGCTCCACCGCGCCAGAGGCCACGCGCGGAAGAGAGACCTTCCCGCGCTGGTAGGAGGCGTACTTCCCGCTGGCCATGTCATCGAAGCCATAGCCAGGATCGGAGCCGATCACGGCGCGCGTGGCCGAGTCGGCGGTCAGGTCCGACGGGCAGCTGGGCACGGTGGCATAGGAGCTGCGAAGCCGCTCCAGCGCGTCAGTCTGAGGACCAGAGGCTGCTCCAGTCCGTCGAACAGCACCGCGCCCTCCCATCTCATTGAGGGTCTGCAGACCAGCCGAGAACCACTCCAAGCCCAGCGCATCCCCTTGACGCAGCACAGGCGAGGTGGGCGCTGGCAGCAGCAGCAGGTCCCTGGGATCTGCCGCAAGACCTGGCGGCATAGCGGCGGCGCAAGCGCTCAGCCGCCTCCCCTGGTGGTGTAGAAGCGGCGCCCAGCCGGGGGGACTCCGGGGCCGCTGCAGGGTAGCACGGGCGAGGAAGGCGTCAGCCCTGCCCCCCCGAGCCAGCGCCCGGGGTGCCAGTCTGCCAGTCCTTGCCCTTCTTGTTGTCCTTGAGCTTCTTCTTGGGGTCGGCGCCGAGCGGCTGGCCAGCTCCGCCGCCGCCGCCGCCGCCGCCTGTGGCCGCCGCCGCCAGAGCCCGTTCCTCACGGCCCTTGCGGCGCTCCTTGAGCACGGCGGCCTGCTCCTCCATGCGCTTCGCCACCCAGCGCTCCAGCTCGGGCGAGATGAGGGCGTAGCCCTTGGCGCGGTCGCCGCCGAGGAACAGGTGCCTCTCGGCCGCGAGGCCCGCCGCCACCGAGCCCTCCGTGGAGGCGCGGATCCGCTCCTGGTACCGCTCCTCCCAGAGCTGGTAGCGGCGGGCCATGCTCTCGAAGCAGGCCAAGTTGCAGATGTTGAGCTGGTCATACTGCAGCCCATGCTGGATGCACTCCGAGAGGAAGAGGTGCTCGTCGATCCCCGGGTCCGACGTTGTCGCCCCCAGCGCCTGCCTCCACCAGTGATGGCGAGGCACGGGGGCCATGCCGCTGTGGGCAAAGGCCTCGATGAGCCACTGCACCGTGCGCGGGCCCTCCACGGGCCAGGCGTCGTCCAGGACCTCCTCGCGCAGCATGTGACGAGCTGACTCGAAGCTGCGCGTGCGCTCGCCGCGCACGTTGTACTCGACAGCCAGTGTGCGGAGGTCCTCCGCCGCGGCCGCCTCGCCCTCGCCAGCTGGCAACGGCGTCGGCGGGTCGCGGCAGAGGCGGTACCAGACTCCCTCCCGGCACAGCAGGGCCTGGCCCGCGACGCCGAATGCGAGGTCCGAAGGGCGGATGGTGATGCTCTCCCCGCGTCGGCGGGGACCCTGGTTCTCGCCGACAAACCACTCGGAGCCCACGAGGCAGGCGTGAGCCACCAGCGCGCCGGGGTCATAGAAGCCCGGGTCGACGTCGGCGGCTGGCACCAGCGAGCCAGGCGCGGGGGCAGACATCGCGCCAGCGTCAGCAAGGGGCGCGGGCACCCGCCCTCCTCCCTCGGCCGCCGGAGGCGCGCCAGCCCAGCCAGCCAGGTAGGCCTCGGCTCTCCGCCGAAAGGCGCTGCCGTGAGCGATGTCCCCCGGGCGGAAGGCGTAGCGGAAGATCTTCGGCCCGTAGAGCCGGCTCGGGATGCCGCCAGCCACACCACTAGGCAGAGCAGCCTCGTAGTCCTCCAGCAGCTCCTCGTAAACGTCGCCGTCGGGCGTGAGCCCCACGTGACCTCCGACGGTGCGCCGCAGCACCAGGCGCTCGTGCCAGACCCCCTCCGACGCGTCGAACAGGGCCCAGAAGCGCCTTCCGGCGGCCACCGCGAGGTCATCTGCCATCAGGCGGACGGTGGTGCCCCACCCTCAAGCCTGCCGCGAGCCCCAGCCGGCAGCGTCAGCTGCTTGATCCCTTCCAGCCCTGCGGCCACCACGAGCGGCGACGCCGGCCTCGGTGGCGCCCACCAGCGGGCCGCGAACCAGCCCGTCACGAGCTGCCCCGCCGCGACGGCGAGCAGCTGGGCGGTGGACTAGCCAGGAGACCCGCAGTCGCACTGGCAACCGCAGATGGGCGCCGGCGGCGCGGAGCGGGCCAGCAGGCAGAATGAGCCTATGGAGAAGGCACAGGCGATTGCGGACGGGTCGACCGGCATCCTTGTCCGGACAGAAAAAGGCTTGAGAGACAGTGTCCATGGCGATCGTCAACATTACCATTGACATTAGCAGCTCCAAGATGTCGCTTGCGAGGTGGTCCGGCCCGTTTTGCTTGAGCCATCCTCACAATGCGAAGCTCGAAGAAGTTGCGCGCGAGATGGTCTGGCCCGTTCTGCCTGAGACGTTTCGTAGCACAAGGGCTCCAATCACAACCTCTCTCAATCCTTCTCCCGCCTCCCTCTTCCCGCTTCCCGCCTGGTTCCTCTTCCCTCCTCCCTCCTCTCGCCTCCCGCTGCTGCGCCTCTCTCTCCGCCTCCCCGTCCCCGCCGTCGTCGTTTCTGCCGCCTCAGCATCCGTCATGCGCGCCCTGCCTTCCGCCCTCCCCAGACATCCGACGTAACGATTTTTTGTTTGAGACGTGCGCCGCGTACCTCCCGATATCATCCCCGGGGGAACCATCACGACATGCCCCCCCGCTTCCGCGCCCTCCCCCGCTTCCTCTTACAGTTGCTTCCGAGTTTACAGCATGGCGGTGAAGCCTCTCACATTGCTTACCCGACAGCTTACTCGTCGACCAGGTGCGACAGAGTACGACACCCTCTGGCGTTAGCTTCCTGATAGGCATGCGTCACACAAGCTTTCGTGTAAACATCTCATGTGCAAACATGAGATGTTTTCATGCTCTAACATGCCATGCCAGCCCGCACTGGACGGGCACGCAATCGGCATTGGAAACCGCAGTGGGTTTAAAAACCCGGCTTGGGGATACCGCACTCAGGCGATATGTTTAAACGAATGCGCGCGGCGCTGAGGCGAGAGCCACATTTTGAAAACCGCCCGCCATCAGTCCGTGAAACTCTTGCAAGTGCTTGAAACAAATATACGCGGCGCTGATGCGAGAGCCACATGTTGAAAAGCATCCGCCTTCAATCCGTGAAGCTTTGGCGAGTTTTGAAAGCGAATGCGCGTGGCGCTAAGGCGAGAGCCACATTTGAAAAAACCAGCCGCCGTCTATCTGCAAAATTGTTACAATGTTGTAAAACGACTGTGCGCGGCGCTAAGCGAGAGCCACATGTTGGAAGCGGCCCACCCTCCATGTGTGAAACTGCTGCCAAATATTAAGAACCAGCAGGGTCAAAAATGCTGAGAGAATCTAAAGCCAAACGCCGGACCCGCCCTTTCGACCGGCCTCGGGGTGCGACACGTAGGATTTATCCATGTCATGTCGATAAAGAACGGAAGAGGAGGAGGATGAGGAGGAGGAGGAGGAAGAGGAGGAGAAGGAGAGGGAGGAGGAGGAGGAGGAGGAGCAGCAGCAGGAGGGGCGCAACGCGTACACGCAAGGACAAGATCTGGTCCTCGTCGAGCGTCTGCAGCAATTTCGCCCGGTTGGCCGCGGAAGCGACTTTGGCCCAGTTTCGCTGTAGCTTCGGTTGCGGGTCTGCGGTGCATCCGATCCAATTGAAGGGCGCCTGCAGAACGCTGGCAGCTTGGAACGTCGCCTCTGCCTGGTCGAGCGTCCGCTCCGTCCGCGGGCAGCGCGCCCGGAACTCTTCCAGCGAGTTGGCCCCGAGGCACCTCATGATGCCGTGGAGCAGGAGGGCCCAGCTGGCGGCGCACGCGGCAGGCGCCGTCAGGGTACGTAGTCGAGGGGAAAGCGCAACCGCCGTCGGTGAGGCGCAGCGCGGCTTGGGAGGCGTTGCGGGGCGTCCACGGAACCGCCTGCCAGCTGCTCGAGGCAGCCGAAGAGAACGCGGCCGAGCTGCTCGTTTCTGGACGGTCAACCTCTCTCCCTCATCATCCTCTCCTCTCCTTCCCTGATCGAGCCGCCGGGCAGTGTTGCCCAAGCACGTGAAGTAGTCCACCTTACACTCCTGGACGTTGGCTGGCGTATGGCCGCGTCCTCCAGCGGACCACGTTTGGGTCTTGGTCTGGTTGACTGCAAGGCCGTGCTACGTAAGGATGTAAACAATAAACTGCCTGGCTGCGTCTGCGTGCTCTGATGGGACGAACACCATGATGCCGTCGAGGTAGCTGAACACTCGGCAAGAAGGCGAGAGCGCCTGGAGACGCGAGTAGATATCGTCAGGCGTGACTGCAACGCCAATAACGAAGAGCGCCGGGCGGGCACCCCTGGTCGACGACCGTGCTGCCCCGAACGCGGCGGGCGCCGTCGGCAGGGTCGTTCCACCAGTATTGCTGGATATTTCCCACGAGCCAGTGATGGGTGCTATGGAACAGCCAGGGCGCCCTCCGCCGCACGCTGTCAATCAGCATGCCACGAGGAACGCTGTTGAAGGCGTTGGAGCAGTCAAAGACCAGCGCGACGCCGAGGGGGCGTGCCTCCGAGAGGGCCGTGAAGCATGTGTGCGCGAGCTCGCACCCCGCCTGCCGTCCGACGGCGCACTTGTGAGGGCCGACTGCTCCCTGTATGTCGTCTTTGTATACATCGCAAGCGGCCCGATATTGCCGTCGGGACCACGAAGGGAGACACTTTGTTGGCCGTCGGCGCCTGGAGAGCGTGAGTTCGGGGAGGGTCCCTTCTGGGGTCCGCCCAGCTGAGCCAGAGAGGGTTCCGCCTCGGACCCCCCGACTGGCCCCCTGGATCGAAAGGCAAAACTCCCCGCCAATACGGGGGGGCACGCTGTCGGTCTCGCTGGTCCTATTCAGGGGATTCGGCACTGCGCCTCCCGAAGGGGTCGGGCCCGAAGAGGGTCCTGGCTGAGCAGACTGGCTGCTGCTTCCCATCCTTCTTTCACCCAGTTTTCTTGGTGGTCCTTCCAGCGACCCACGCCCAGCAGCGGCGGGCGGGGGGCCGATGGCGGCAGGGGAGGAGGGACACCGAACAGGTGCATCGATGGGAGATAGAGGCGCCCTCCCCGCAGCCTGGGGCGAATCCAGTGATGGAAGCGCCCCGGCGCACAAAGGGCGTGCTGACACCTGAGAGGATAGATATTGCCGTCGGAGCTGCCGCTCGCCCCAGTCGGGGCTCCAGCGCCGGCGGCGGCCGACGGCGGGGCGACGGCGGCAGGAGGGGGGTCCCAGGGCCCGCTGCCTGTATGGGGGTAGCGGAGGGTCTCCGCCCGCCCTCATCGTCATTCGCGCCACCGAGCGTACCGACGGGGTGCTGGGTGGACCTTCCATCAAGGGGATACAGACTCGATGTGTCGGCACAGGGGTTGCCGTCTAATGGCGGCGCTGTTCCACGTGAGCGAGATAACCATCGATCTGGGGGGTGCGCCGTGCGCCGGAGTGCGCATCATGACCATCGGTGCCGTGTCGGGGGTCCTGAGCGGGCGCGCCAGCAGAGACGAGCTGGGGCAGCGCCAGGGTCCCAGGCTGGATCAGGACGTTGGGCCCAGGGGGCTGAATGGGAGCCCCGTCAACGAGGGCCGGAGGAGCAGTGTTGATGTCGCAAGAAAGTTAGTCTGTCCCCGCTATCCCCGCAGGAGTGGTAGCCCCCAAGCTGGTACTCAGAGGGGACCTGGGGGAACGCAGACGCAAACTTGCTGCACATCCCTCACTAGCTCTCGAATGCCTGGTGTGGGCGAGTTCCAGTCCAGGGTGACCCCCACGGGGTCCATGGCTAGGCCGGACACCAGCGGGGGCCGGGCGGCGGCCGCAAGGGCCGGGCGGCGCGGGCGCGGGGAAGGGGCCTCTTGCGTCGGGCGCCCCTCTGAGTGCGGGAGACCCCGAAGAGGGGGCCCGCTCGCGGCCTTGAACCAGGCTGCGGACGCACACACACACACACACACACACACCACGCACGCACGCACGCACGCATGCACGCACGCACGCAAAGACACCCACACACACACACACACACACCGTCATCACCATCATCACCGGGATCGACATCATTGTCATCACCTTCGGAAACATCCCCACCATCGTGCACTCGATCATGAACTTATAGAGTCAACATGAAACAGTTACACTGAGGAGTCTTGGGTGGGAGCCTCATCTGCAAATGATTGGCAAGGAACTCTCAGGCGGGAGCCCCCCCTCTAGGGCCAGCAAGATCATGTTACCAACCCGAGGAGGTCACCCAAGACCTCCAACTGCTAGCACTTTGGGGCTTCTGAGGACTGCATCTGGAGGACGTCTTGAGCGGGAGCCTCATCTGTGAGGGGATTGCGAGGAACTCACAGGCAAAAGCAGCCCCACTCTAGGGCGCGCCAGGTCATGTTACCGATCCGCACGGGTCATCCAGAACCTCTAATTGTCATCACTTTCGGGCCCCTGAAATTGAAATACAAAAACCTCATGTGTAAGTAAATTCTGAGGAAATATCAGCCGTGAGCCCTCTCCCTTTGGGCTCACAAAATCAAATTACCCATAAGAGGGGGCCATCCGAACCCTGTAAGCATCGTCGCTGTCGGGGTCCTGAAGATTGAATCTGAAGGAAAACACGAGCGAACCCTCGTCTGTGAGTAAAATGCGAGGACGTCTCGAGCGGGAGCCCCCTCCGTATGGGCCTTCAGATGACGTTGCCAATCCGAGAAGGTCATCCGAACCCTGCAATTGCAGTCACTTTGGGCTCCTGTGAACTGAGTAGTGAGGAAGTCTCGACCTATGGGAGGAGGCTGGAGGAGGAGGCAGGTGGAGACAGGAAAGACAGGGGGAGGAGGGGATGGAGCAGGAGGAGGAGAAGGA